GTACAAAATCTCAAAACAAGATTTTAGGAGAGTAACAATGGTTAGTACATTGTGTATTGTTACTGCCAAAGTAGTTTCTCATATTACAAGATATAGGCAAGAAGTAATAAGTAAATAACATAGGTACAAACCTCTGTTTTTTTAAGTCAACAGAAAATGGAAATATACTTTTTAAAGTTTCTAATACTAGGAGAAGATATCATACAATGTCTTTTTTTTTTTTTTCAGAACCGGGGATTGAACTCAGATCCTTGCGTTTGCCAGTCAAGCGCTTATCCTACTGAGCCATCTCCCCGGCCCATACAATGTCTTTTAAATAAATTGTAAGTCAGGGGCTGGGGAGATGGCTCAGTGGAATAAGCGCTTCCCTGGCAAGCGCAAGGGCCTGAGTTCAATCCCCAGTTCTGCCAAAAAAAGAAAAAGAAAAAGAAAGATGAAAAAGAAAACAATAACAAAGAAGTTATAAGAAATTCAAAAGAGGGGAAAAAATCAGAGTAAAGAAATATTCAAGAAACTGTAAGACTTCCTGGGGCTCAACTTATAACAAATTCATCTTAACCTCCCACTTACAAGCACACAGCTATCTGGGACATTGGGATAATTCCCCTCATACAACAAGTTAGTGAAGCAAATAAATTGTTAAGGAGCAGGTACTTCCTGAATCCAGAAATGTCTGCCAAGCTCTGATTGACACGGGAAGCATGATAGTAGAAATAATAGCTGCACTTTGAAAATGTCACTGCTAGTGACATCTGCATGATGTGAGGAAATCCAAGGAGGAAGGTGGATATTCAAACTCATCAGCAGTCATATAAACTAGAAAATGCATCCATCAAATTCCATTCCATGCAAGTGAGTGTTCTCTGCCTTATTAGCTGCCACAGCCCAGTACAAAGCAAAAGTAATGTCTGGCGTATAAATAAGTGCATAGATTTAAACTTACTGAAGGAGAACAGGGAACCAAACATTTCTAGACCCTGCAAGAAAAAAATACCCACAAAGCAGGACAAGGAGTCTGACAGAGGGGATTTAACGAAACAAACAGGAGCTAAGGGGCCTGCTTCCGGTAAAGGAGTAAAGCGAAGAGGCCACAGGAATACCAGGTAAGCAGTAAGAAAACACCCTGGACTTGTTCACTCAACAGTTATTCACTGCCTCCGTCAGCCAAGCGCTGCCCCCGACAATGAAGAAAGCAGACAAAAACTATGCCCTCGTGGAGGTGACACTGTACTACTGATCGGCACCAGATCGCCCAGTGGAGATACCACTGTCACTACAAGCATGACAGGAAGAAAAAGCCGAGAGGAGCTGCCTGGGAGTGGGGAAGGGCAGCCCCGAGGAAGCGCGCGGGGCGACCCCAGGCAGCATCCCTGGATCTCACTGAGGCCTCGCCGGACATCAGGATCCGACGAAAGCAAGGAGAAAAGCCGGAGGAGATCGGATCGGTCCAGCATTCCACAAGTACGTAAAGCAAACTGGGTGACCAGGACAAGAGGAACTTTCCAAATCGAGGCCCAAACCTGACCTGGGGAGCGATATCCGTCACCTGGAGCCGCCATGATTAGCGAAACACGAGTCGGGAATGAAGAAGAAACACTCACCTCACCAAGCACGACCCTTGGGACCCTTCTGTCCTGGAGTCTGGGGTGCTAGCGCCACCACCCCGGGGTCAGACGGCCTCAAAGCGCCAAATTCCGGTCCTTGAAGGCGGCCATTATTGTCCCGTAATACTCTGCGCGGCCAACTCTAGCCATCCAAAAGTACCATCGAGAGCGGCCCGGAAATCGACCGATCCTGGATCCGAGCGTGGGACAGGTCGCTAATTGCCGCTCCACGCTACAGCGGCTTCCTCTGGGGCTCCGCGCTGACCTGAGACACTTCCGAGTCTCCTCGAGACCAATCACGCTTAGTTTAAGAGGCAAGCCTCCGCCTCTAGTCTGTGGGCGGGAGGAAAAGGAAAATAAGCCGGCCATATTTAATAAGGGCGGAAGAGACACCAGGCTTCCGGTCAGAGCCGGGCAAAGTAGGCGGTGACTAAAAATCCTCTCTCAAGCTCATTGGACCGTGAAGTAGGACGTGCAACTGTACGTTTATTTCCTGCGTCCGTACGGTTTCCTTTTCCGTAAATGGCCAGCAAGAGTTGCCAGGCAACAGCCCTGGATTACTTCGGATTAAACTCGCTCCACAGTTTGGAAGGGAGGACGCGGGCTGCCAGCGCACTGGCAGTTCCAGAAGGCTGAGAGCCTTGAAGTGAAGGTGCCTTGGACAAGTTAAGTGTTGTTGTCTCCGGCAGTCGTAGGCCAGAGTAGCCAGCCACAGGAACTGTATCTTTAAAATATTCCGGTATTTTGGATACTATAAACACTCGCCCCAAAGCGAACAAAAGCCGCCCATCTGTTCACATGCAGATATTTCACTGAGGATGTTTTGGGATATTTATTGCTAAATTTTTATGTAAATATGTACGTATCATTATAGTTAGATTTTCTGTAAAATTGCTTTTGTGCTTTTACATACTACTTTATAAGTTTACTGTTTGTACATCTTTGCTTATTTGTCTAGTTAATTAAGAATTTGTTCTCAGAAATGGAATTGCAAATTTGCAGTTTCTTTCCAAAAAGGTTTGTGTGTCTCCGTTGCAGTACGGACCACGAATCCCTGCCCCTACCGCCATACCCTTGCCATTCTTGTGTAGTACCGTGGTGTTTAATCGTCGTCGCTTTAATGGGTTTGTGCGCATAACTTTTAATTCGCTTTTCTTGGCTTACATGTAAGGCTTAGCTTTCCAAGTATATTTACTTCCCAGTTGTACCTTTTCTCCTGTGCATTTTCCATTGATACATTTTGCTGTGGACATTCCCTTAGTGAAGTAGAGGAGGTGCCTTTCGAAGTATCCATGTTCTCTGAGTTTCTCTTTGTTCAGTAATTTGTTCTGCCACTCGTGTTTGCTGAAGTTTCTCTTGACAATCAGCTTTCCTGTTTAAACTGTGACCTCTTGGTGGGACAATTTCATATCTTTGTGAGTTTTTATAAATTTATAACTTGAAATATGATTTGTGACCCCAGGAAATACAGAGAAAAAGAAATTCTCCCCTTTTGCACCATTCCCCAACATTAGATCTGAGCTCCAAGTATCAAGGATGGGGCCTCTCATGGACGCCTCATTAATAAGCCCTTTCGTGAAGGGGCTTCTCAAATATGACATTTCTTCCAGTCGTAAAATTAGGAGCGGGACTCCTACCTTTTTTTTTCATTTAGTACAAGGTCTTCAGGGTTTCATTACACAGACTTGTGATTCTCCTGTGTTCAGCCTCCCAGGCGCTAGGATTACAGGTGTGCACCACCATGCCCAATTTCATTCGCCGTCTCAGGGTGCCCTGGGCATGGGGCTAGCATCCCAAGCCGGGGATAGAACCCTGGTCCCTGAGTCTGCCTAAGCAGGAGCTTTAATCCACTTAGCTATCTGACCGGCCCTGGGAATCCTACATTAGAAGTGGCACTAGACTAGAAATTTGATGGCCTAGATTCCACTAGTCCTTGTCATGTAGCTAGAAGTCTAACCATGAGCAGTCTAGATTATAAAGTGAAGGTCCAGCATCAAAAAGACAGAAGAATTAATTCGTTTTCACATACTTCTCTTTTTTTTCTTTTTATTCAGAAATAAATATGAATGAGACAGTTTCACAGTTGATTAATAGGACAGTTTTGATAGTCAATACACTGTATATTGTTATCTTCTTAGTGGTTATCCATAGTACAAGAAGCAGACAGGATATCCTGTCCAAACACTGTTAGTACACCTCTTTCTTCTCATTGAGTTAAGCGAAAGTAGCTGTAAATTTATCCTATTTTGTATATATAAATACAAAATGATCTTTCCCTTGTGTCTTTTTTTTTTTTTGTCCTGTCAGGGGTGAATATTCTATTGGCATCTGAATACTATAGGTGTTTGAATTCAACTAAACAATCTAACACTGTCTAGCAGTCTATAATATTAGTGGGTTATCCTCAGAACATACTTCTCTTATAGTACTGAGGACTGGATCTAGGGCCTTCACACTGAACTACATGCTCAACTTTTTTTTTTGACACAGGTCTTGGTAAGTCTCTGAGTTGCCCGCCAGGGCCTAAACTTGTGATCCTCTTCCTTCCTTCCTTCCAGAGTGTCACACACACTAGTGATTCAACTGTTCGTTATGGGACAAGGTGCACCTTGTACAGTATGCACCAAGATTCACTAAACCAGGATTTGTGATAATACAAATGTCTATCAATAAAAGACTTTAAAAGTACAGTAATGCATGAAATAGTATGCTGCCATGACAGCAGTCTCCGAGCTTTGTATAGCAAGATATCAGTAGATCTTCATGTAGTGAGTGGCTTAAAAACATGGAGTGCAGAAAGTAGATAAAGTGTATGCTCAGCCTGTGCCATTCCTGCTATGGGGCTTCTCTTCCTCCTGTAGAGTTTTTAGGAACCTCTGACTTCAGTTAGAGTCAAACAGGAGGAGATTAGGCACCAGAAGAGAGAATAGTAGCTACCTCGCAGCTGCGAGCTGACCTCACATACGGTGCCCTCCACTCAGCTCTGTCCACCACGGTTCTCGCAGCTACCTGGGAGGTTCATGTCCCATTATTCGCTTTACTTTGTTTTCCTACACCTTGCCTTAATCAAAGTCTTCAAATTCCCAAATTTGAGTCATTTCCTCCTTGCTGGACCCTTGATTCACACAATAGGCCATCTCTTGGGTAAAAATTTAAAAAAAAAAAATTATGTAGACACATTTTGATTTTCTTGGGACTATAAAAACTCTGGAAGGTACTTGAGAACATGAATGAAGGCAGTCACCTGGTGTGTGAGGAGAATGGGGGGGTGCCTGGGCCTGAAGAGGGAGATTATGGGATGGAGGCATTTACAGTATACCTTTTTTTTTTTTTTTTTTCCCCCCCGGAACCGGGGATTGAACTCAGGCCCTTGCGCTTGCCAGGGAAGTGCTTATTCCACTGAGCCATCTCCCCAGCCCTACAGTATACCTTCTGTAGTGGTTTTTTCTTGAACTACGTGAATTCATCACACTCGACACGTTAAGTATTTTTAAATTGGGGCTCATGCACTTAATCTAAACTCCTTAAACAATGCAGGTGTGTCCCAGGAAGGAGCGTGGAGTTGGATTACTTGAACATTTGAATTATTGGAAGATGAGCTTCCTGTTGCCCAAACTGACAAGCAAAAAGGAAGTAGACCAGGCAATAAAAAGTACCGCCGAGAAAGTGTTGGTTCTCAGGTTTGGGAGAGACGAAGATCCTGTCTGTCTGCAGCTAGATGACATTGTAAGTGAATTTTTTATTACATGGTTTTTATTAAAAATCTGCACGTTCTCATTTCAACATTTGCATAGTTTTTGGAAAGAAACAGGCAGGGTGTGGGCACAGCTGCCTATTAGTTTACTTTCAGTAACCTATCACGGGTCCTCCCTTGAGCTGAATTTGAAGTTGTGCTAAATCTGTCCTGATGTCCTTCCCCACCAGCAGAGGCGTCCGCGAACAGACCTTTTCCGTCCTCACCACAGCAACCTGTTTGCTAGTGGCAGACGGAAATGCTGTGGGGAGGAGTGAGAGGCCTCCACTGGCCCAGGTATGTTAGCCTGCAGGGCTGGGATTTGGAGTCACGTTTCTCCAGCTTCCAGTGCTTCGCTGGTGTGCTCCTGCGCAATGTTTCCGATTCCACAGCCCCTCTTCACGTTCTGATAGTAAGGAGGAGGACGGTGGGAGTGGGACAGAGGGGGTGTGCCCTTATCTCTATCACACCTGGAGACTTCACCAAGGACTAGGGTCTTTTCACACCATTTCTGTTGTTGCCATCCACTTTGTCATGAAGTGTTAGAATTCTTAGTATGTGGCAAAAAAATGAATGTGTGATGTGTCAGCCCAGGGGATAAAGGACCAGAAAATTATACACTCAGCTGTGGGGAGCAGGGAAGATCCCAGAAATCAGAGTACAGGCTCTGGGCTGGGAGTGTAGCTTAGTGATAGAGTGTTTGTGTAGCATGTGTGAGCACCATCCCCAGCCCTGGAGAAACAGAGGGAAAAAGGAGAAGAGGAGGGAGAGGAGAAGGAAAGAGAAAGAAAAGGATGGAAGAAAGGATGGACGGATGGGTGCGCGAACAGCCATAGATTCTGAAGTCGGCCTGCAAAGTTCAAATTACCACCCTACTGCTTAGGAGCTATTGACCTAGAATAAGTTATGTTACCTTATTGTGCCTTGATTTCTTCATCTACAAAATGGGGACTCCAACAATCCATACCACAGGAATATGGGAAGTATTAAATGGATTAACAAATGTAAAACCCTTAGGACATACTTCTGAGGGTTTGTTTTTTTTTAAAGCAGATATGTTAGTGTTTTGCTTTGTTTTTACAGTGCAAACAAACCCAGGGTTCCATACATGCTGGGCAAGAACTCTGCCACTGAGTTACACCCTTAGCGACATTAAGAGACTACAATATAGGTGATGTATATAGAAATAATCAAACATGAGTCAGGCATGGTAGTGCCTATTGATAGTCCCAGCCCTCTATGAAGGTGAGTCAAGAAAATTAAAAGTTAATCTTCCCCTGAGCAACTTGATAGCTTAGTGAGACTATTTCAAAATATAAAACCAAAATAAAAGGTAATTACGTGTGTAGTTCAGTACAGAGATTCTGGGTTTAAAATTCAAAAAAAAAAAAACCTAGTCAGACACAGACAAAACACTCAGGAGGCTGAGGCAGGAGGATCACCCTGAGTACAAGGCCAGCCTGGGCTACATAGCAAGTCCTTGTCTCTAAATAAATAAATAAATAAATATGCGGGCAGCACAGTCACTGAGAGCTGAGCTGAGCCGCGCCACGCCACGCCACGCAGTGCCGATCGCCATCCGGCCCAGCTCTTGCGCTATCCCAGGCGGCGCAGGCTGGTGAGCTGAAGCCACTGAAGCCCATAGAGCTCGAGAACATGGTAGCGAACACAGTGCTACTCAAGACCTGGGAAGGAAGTCTATGATTTGCTGGGATAAACGCACAGAGAAAATAATAGGGAGCCCTGCATTGTGGACTGTTAGGATCTCTGTGGAGGTGGAAATCCCAAAGGCAAGAGCAAGAAATGGTGGCAAATGCTTCAGTTCCCCCACATCAGCCAGTGTGAAGAACTGCGGCTCAGCCTCGAGCGTGACTACCACAGTCTGTGTGAGCGGCCGCCTATTGCGCACCTTCTGTTCTGGGAGTTCTGCACCACAAGGCCTGAGCTGACACACTGCGTTGCCTTCCTGGACAGGGTGGCTGAGTATGAAGTGACCCCTGATGAGAAGCGGAAGGCATGTGGGCGGCAGCTAATGCAGAGTTTTCTGAGCCACACGGGTCCTGATCTCATCCCTGAGGTCTCCCTGCAGCTGGTGACTAACTGAGCCCAAGAGGCTGGAGCATGGACCGTGCAAAGACCTCTTCCAGGAGTTGACCCGGCTCACCCATGAGTACTTGAGCATGGCCCCTTTTGCTGACTACCTCGACAGCATCTACTTCAACCGTTTCCTGCAGTGGAAGTGGCTGGAAAGGCAGCCAGTCACGAAAAACACCTTCAGACAGTACTGAGTCCTTGGCAAAGGTGGCTTTGGGGAAGTGTGTACCTGCCAGGTGTGGGCAACAGGCAAGATGTATGCCTGCAAGAAGCTGGAGAAGAAACGAATCAAGAAGCAGAAAGGGGAGGCCATGGATTTTAATGAGCAGCAGATCCTGGAGAAAGTGAACAGTAGGTTTGTAGTGAGCTTAGCCTATGCCTGTGAGACCAAGGATGCACTGTGCTTAGTGCTGACGCTGAAGAATAGAGGTGACCTCAAGTTCCACATCTACCACATGGGCCAGGCTGGCTTTCCTGAAGCGCATGCTGTCTTCTATGCTGCTGAGATCTGCTGTGGGCTGGAGGACCTGCATCGAGAGTGCATCGTGTACAGGGACCTGAAGCCAGAGAACATCCTTCTGGATGGCCACGGCCATATCTGCATCTCTGACCTGGGACTGGCCGTGCACGTGCCTGAGGGCCAGACCATCAAAGGTCTTGTGGGCACTGTGGATTACATAGCTCCAGAGGTGGTGAAGAGTGAGCGATACACATTCAGCCCTGACTGGTGGGCATTAGGCTGCCTCCCATATGAAATGATCGCAGGCCAGTCACCCTTCCAGCAGAGGAAGAAGATCAAGCAAGAGGAGGTGGAGCGGAAGGTGAAGGAGGTGCCTGAAGAATACTCTGGGTGCTTTTCCCCACAGGCCTGCTCACTCTGTTCCCAGCTCCTCTGCAGGGACCCTGTGGAGCGACCTGGGTGTCGTGGGGCCGGTGCCCAAGAGGTGAAGGAGCACCCTCTTCAAAAAGCTGAATTTCACGCGACTGGAAGCAGGCATGCTAGAACCACCCTTTAAACCTGATCCCCAGGCTATTTATTGCAAGGATGTTCTGGACATTGAACAGTTCTCCACTGTTAAGGGTGTGAAGCTAGAACCAACCGATCAGGACTTCTACGAGAAGTTTGCCACAGGCAGCGTGCCCATCCCCTGGCAGAATGAGATGGTGGAGACCGAGTGCTTCCAGGAGTTGAATGTCTTTGGCCTGGATGGCTCAGTTCCTCCAGACCTGGACTGGAAAGGCCAGCCACCCGCACCACCGGAGAAGGGACTGCTGCAGAGCTTCTTCAGCTGCCAGAGGATTGCTGTGGGAACTGCAGTGACAGTGAGGAAGAGCCCCCACCCACCTCTAGTCCCCAGCCCGAGGCCCCCACCATCGGTTGGCGGTAGCTGCTCCAAGTGCTGTTTACAGTTTTGCACAGTGGTCTTCCCCATTGTCCACTAAAGTCATGACCTGGGGAACACATCCAGAGCTGTCCCCAGTGTCCTCTCAGCCCTTGGCCTGGCTGAGTTTGGCAAAGCTTGGGCCGTCCCTGGGACAAAGGTGTGTCCCTTTAGCTCCTCTGTAGGACTCAGGGCTTTCTGTATTTATGTACTTGTATGAATGTATATAGCAACCAGAGCGTTCTTAATTCCTACCCCATACCTGGCGCTCTGCCTCAGTCTCTAGGGCAGCCAGCACCGGCTGGGAGAGCTAAGAGATAGCAGAGGAGCCACTGCCAAAGTCAAGGCTTCTCAGGCCCCACTCAGAAGTGGCAAGGTCAGTTCCCTGAGCCCCCAGCATTGTGCTGGCCCCCACCAACCTCCAAGTGAGGCTCATGCCTGCCCTTGGTGTCCTGGGCTCAGGCTGCACTGACTAGGGCCCAATACTGTGTCCCTTTATGGCAGTTATCAGCGTTGAATAGGGGTTCTCTACCCTGTAGGCCTGTGCCAAAGTGTGACCAGAGATTGGACTGACTGTTGAGACCTATTAGTTCACTGCCCCAGCTGATCCACATGGGTCTCCCTCTGCCTTCCAGCTCCCAGGTCACCTTGTCTCGTATGCTGGGCCCTGAAGACACCTCTTTCAAAAATGCTCCAGCCCAGGCCATAGGAGAGGTGTCCCTGGCCAGCTTTGGCCAACATTCCAGAATCCCCTCATAAACATACACACATGTGCCCAGCAATAATCTGCCCTTCCCTGTGTGTGCCCATGGGGAATGTGTGGGTGTGTATCTGTGTATGTGTGAAGGGGATGGGGTAAGGCTGTGCCTATGTCCTGGGCCCCAGCCCTCGTCCTCCCCAGAATGAAATTGATAGCCATCCTGGTCCCAGTGTTGGGGTAGAAAAGGATTACAGGACACTGACTTTTCTGTATTTAAAGCTAATTTTTATTACTCAGTTTTGTCCAATGTAAGCTGCCACATGTCTCTGTGTGAATACAGTCTGAGCACAAACCTGAAAAAAATTAAATAAAAAAAATAATTAATTAATTAATTAAATATGGACAAACAAAAGAAATCTATTTTCCCAGGGTACTCTGATAACAGTGACTCGGCCTCTGAAAACCAAGGCCACACTGTGTCTGATGTGGAACCCAGAATATTCCATCCTTGGCCCAAAATTTTCTCAAACCAAATAATCCCTAATAGTGAAATGCTGTACAGAAGAAATCCCAGCTGTGTCTCATACTGATTTCTGTAACTTTTTGTTTTCTTCGTGGCTATTTCTCATCTTGTGACCCGCCCACCTCGCTTGTCATTTGCAGCTTTCTAAGACCGCTCCTGACCTGAGTAGAATGGCCGCTATCTACCTGGTAGATGTGGCAGATGCTCCAGTTTACACGCAGTATTTTGACATCAGTTATATTCCATCTACTGTATTTTTCTTCAATGGGCAGCATATGAAAGTGGATTATGGGTAAGTGCCTCACTCTTCTCTCATTGCTGGGACAAATATCCGACACCCAAAATGAAGGAAGGAAAGGTTGATTTAGCTCACAGTTACTGGAGGTTTTGGTCCTTATTCAGCTGGCTGCAAGGCAGAGCTGCACATGGCAGAGAGCAGCAGTTCATGGCGGCGGCAACAGCAAGAGGAGCCAAGGGAGGAGTGGGGCAACGAGGGCAACAGAGAGGAAGTCTGTCTCTCTTAAATTGCATTCCGGCTGTCCACCCCAGGCTAGGGGAAATATACACCCCAGTAATCCCAGCAGTACTAAGATCCATAATCTCAGCCTTGGATCATCTATAATCCCAGTGGATCATGAGTTAATCACAAACTCTATAGAAGTCCCCACCCCATGACTGCATAAGGCTTTCAGGGGACAACTAGACACAAACCATAACAGTAAGTTAGGTTGGCTTTGGAGTCATTCACATCTCGACAGCTTCTTTATCAAAGCAGCTTCGGTAGCTTACCTGCTCATGCTATCTTCTGGGTCAGTGGTGTCTTTAATCTTTCACGTGAAACTGATACAAGCTGACAGCATCTCAGGCCTGAGGGGCAAATTTAATTTCAAATAGATTATGAAAGAGTAGTTACAGTTCATTAAATCAAAGAAATATAGAGTAACTCTGTTAGCTAATTACTTTACGTAAAAGGTTCCCCAGGAGCTTTATTTAAAACAATATTTGCAGTTATTCTTAAGCTCTTAGGGCTGATAAATAGCATTAAAAAAGCCCACCTGCCAGCAAATGAAGACACGTCCCTCTCTTGCTAAATGTCTTCTGCCACTCAGAATTTTCAAGTCATTCTTCAACAAGGGCTGCCAAAGTAAGTAGTAATATTGTTATTCTTTAACACTTTCCACAGTATCTAGTTAGTATCCCAGTACTAAATAGTTGTGACCATATCCACATTCTTACCATTTCTTACTCTGGTTGAGGTACATCTTGACTGTGTTTTGTCAAGAGAGTTAAATATTCTATTCTTGGGACCAGCAAGATAGCTGAGCAGTCCAAAGCGCCTACTTAGGCAATCTTAGGCAAGCACAGGGTCCTCAGTTTGATCCCCAGCACCACATGCCGTGCCAGCACAGCCCCCAGGGCAGGCTGAGCCAGCCACAAAGAAATATATATATAGATTAGATAGATAGATAGATAGCTATTCTTAAGTGCCTTAAAGCTATTCATTTTGCTGGATTACAGTTGATGTAAATACTAGTTTCATTCACTCTTTTTAGAAGGTATTACTGGATATCAATACCATCAAAGTGTTTTAAGAATTTTAACCAAGTAATTAATTTTTTCAAGAATCAAATACAGGGCCAGAAATACAGCTCAGCAGTATAAGTCCATACCTGGCAAACTCAGTGTCCCAGGTTGGGTCTCTGGAACTGCAAAAAAAAAAGTGTCTCTAAAAAAGAATTAAATACAGGGACTGAAAAAAATAATCACTAGTGAAAAGCCACCGAGTAGCTTGTGATATGGTTCCCATTATGAAAAAGGAAATACCGTATTCACGTGTACAGACGTACACATAATACTGGAAGGATATAGACAAAAGGAGACTTCTGACCTCCTTGATGATTTTATTGTTCTCTAAACTATCTCTGCAATAAGTATGCCTGGTGCTTAAAATATATTTTTAAAAGTAATTTGAGGGGGCTGGGGAGAAGGCTCAGTGGAATAAGTGCTTCCTTGACAAGCACAAGGGCCTGAGTTCAATCCCTGGTTCCGCAAAAAAAAAAGTAATTTGATAATACCGACAAAGCCAGGTGTGGTGGCACATACCTGTAATCCCACACTTGGGAGGCTGAGTCAAGAAGATCATTGTGAGTTCTAGGCCAATCTGAAATGCATAGTAAAATCTTACTGTCAGAAACAAAAAGTTGATGACACCAGCAACTCTAAAAAGGTATAAAGAAGAAGTTGGGAGTCCAGGGCTCATGAATTGGTTTTGCACAGCAACGCCAAGGAAACTGCCTACTCCAGTGCTCAGTGAATTCTGCTTATTATCAAAGTGATTCATACAGGTCTTGAGGCACAATATTTTGCCTGCCATGGCCCACAGCCCTGCTTTTAATCGCGTATCTTATACCAAGTGGGAAAGATCAAATGTCAGGCTGCATGTCTGTCTCCCAAGAAGAAACGAAGCCGCTCTGCATTTTGTGTCCAGCACGTCTTCAGCAAGTCGTTAAATATCCTGAGAGGGTTGTCTGTCTTCTGTGCTGTCTAGGTCTCCAGATCACACCAAGTTTGTGGGAAGTTTCAAAACTAAACAAGACTTCATAGATCTGATTGAAGTAATCTATCGAGGAGCAATGAGGGGAAAGCTCATCGTGCAGAGTCCTATCGATCCCAAGAATATCCCCAAATATGATCTTCTCTATCAAGACATTTAGCACATCAGCTGCTGTTGGAGAAGGAAAGAGAGGCGCGTGGTGAGACAGTACCTGCATCCAGCTGTGCTATTTTCTGGAGTCCCCCAGAAAGGTGGGCAGTGCCCCAGCAGAGGCAGGTTTGTCTTGTCTGTAAAATGCCTGTCCCCTGGGCGAAGGCCCGCCAGTGCCCCGGCGGTCGGGGTCCCAGCCTGTCTGCCCCCGCAAGCCTCGGATCAGTCAGGCCACCTGCTCAGTTTCCCCAGGGTGACTTTTTCTAGCTTCCCTTTCATACCATGCTTTCACTTACCCCATAAGATAATACAGAAGCCTAAACAGAGGCCAGGAAAGGTGAACTGTCTGTCTGATGTACAAGTAAATGAAGAGTCCTATGAAAGCAGAAGTATTTCTTTTCTCCCTAGACACGCATGGGTGTCGCACATACCCTCTCGCCTGTCCCCTTCATATCCCTAATGCTCCCCCATCTCCAGGCCCTGCTCCCCAGTTTCTCTCAGAAATTCCCCACTGTTCCAAGCGACTTCATTTCATTTTGGAGCCTTTCTAACTCAGGCTTTGAAAATACTGCCTTTGTCAGCCCATTTAACCAGCTTCTGTGATATTCAGTCTGTCAGGAATTAAGACCTTGGCCTCCACCGTCCAGCACCCACCTTGAGCAAAACAAAGACATAACATGCTTGGTAAGAAGCCCCTCCCTTCCTGAAGTCAGAGTTGCTACTTCTCTCTGAGGCAGAAAGTTGTATTTCAAGCACTTGAGATGCAAAGAGGTCAGCATTGTTCAAAACAAATAACATTTTTACAAGACTTGCCAGGTTTAGTGACTGTATACGAAGACCTCTTGCTCTCCACAGTCCTCCTGCAAACTTGCCAACTCACTGCTTTTCTCACAGCCGTTGGAGCTGAGGTCCCAATAAGAGGGTGGCAGCTGCACTGCAGGGAGTGGGCCAGGCAGCTTGGGAGCTGTGGGCAGCCATCGGCCTCTGTGCCAGGTGCCGCTTCTTAGGGATGTGCCGCAGGCAGTGGTGACCCTGAGAGGTGGTTCAGGCTGCTGTGGCGCGGAAGAAAGGCTGCTGGCGGCTTTTTGTGTCCTATGTTGATAAAAGGAGGGAGGCATTCTTCAGGAATAAAACAAAAGTACCTCTCTTCTCTGCCCCTACTTCCTTTTGATTTTAATCATACACATTTTGGGCCCATGAGGTAACCAGCATCTGGATGAAAAATTAATATGCTGAGAATAATTTGAATAGATTCTGATCATTAGGTTTGGTGCTGCATGCCTATAATCCCAGCTACAGGGTTGGCGAAGATGGATCATGAGTTGGAGGCCACCCTGCGCAACGTAGCAGACCCTGTCTCAAAATTCTTAAAAAGTAAGGCCAGTGAGATAGCTCAGCAGACTAAGCTGAGTCACAAGGACCAGGGTTGGATCCCAGCACTACATGCCCTGCCGGCCCCACCCGTGGGCACACTGAGCTGGCTACTGATTCCAGGCGCGGTGGTGCACACCTGTAATCCCAGCACTGGGGAGGCTGAAAACAGGATGATCACAAGTCTGAGCTGCATAGTAAGACCCTGTATTCAATACATTCAAGTAAATTTTAAAAATCTTGGGGCCTTGTGGGTTAGCTCAGTTGTTTAAAGTACCTGTTTGGGCATACCCAATCAGGTGCAGGGGAACCACAGTTCAATCCCCAGCTGCACATGCCGCACCAGGCCCGCGCTTAAAGCAGCCTGAGCCAGCAAAAAAAAAAAAAAAAATCTTAAATAGGGGTAGGGGCCAGGGAAATGGCCCAGTAGGATAAGCGCTTAAGCGCAAGGGCCTAAGTTCAATCCCCAGTTCCACAAAGAAAAAAAAGGGGGGGCTAGGAGTGTAGCTAGCCCATGTATAGTATATTGCAAGGTCCTGGCTTCACTCTAAATTAGGATGTTACTAAGCTCCTGAGTAAACTCCAGAGTTGCCTCAAAAATATCTTCCTTGCTAAGTCACTGTTAATCAGATTTTCTGTTCTCCAGCCTAAATTGTAGTATTTGGTATACAGTTAAGTGCTCAGATACCTGTAAAAACTGAAAAACTACATGCATAAAATTTTCTTATTCTCTCTGAAGTCCTGATTTAGGCTTTAGATCTGATCTTAGTTGTTTTCCATTCCACAAATAATTTATTGCATACGTTCTGTACGCCCCATCAGATGGAAGGTGCTGCATACAGGTGACTCCTGGACAAGGATGGAGGTTTGGGAGAGGAGCAGCCACTCAAGCCTTAGGGGGAGCAGGAGGTTCCGTTGCGGACAGCGAGCTCAGAATGGTACAGGCTCTGCAGGAGGCCAGGGGGAGGCCAATGAGGTGGGAGGAAGGAGGTGGAGAAAATAAATGATTGAAAATGTAAGGAGGCCTGCCCCTTAGCTCAGTTCTTTAAGTGGCTGCTTCAACAGAGCAGTCAGGCTCAGGTTGCTGTGGTTCGATCCCCACAACTCAAGCCAGCCAAACCTGCCCTGAAAGCATTGGGAGCAAAAAAAAACCAAATAACAACAACCCTTCTGCTGATTGGTTGACCGTAGTTTTGTCCCACCTCCTGCCCACCTAAGCGAGTTCCCATTCTCTCTACCTTAGCCTCACATGGTTTTACACTATAAAAGTCCCTGGAAGAGACAGCTTCCTGGGGAACTACCTGCTTGGGCCCCCTCCTGTCCCTCTCTTGGACAAGAGCTTTCTTTCTCTCAGTAAATATATTCTGCTCATAAAAAAAAGAAAAAAGAAAATGTAACAGGTTTTTTTTTTCTTATCACTTCCTCCCTGGGTATAGCCACGAACCACTTAATATAATCATAATTCCTCAAAATTAGGGTGGTTTCTTCTTCCAGAAAACTTAATGCTGAAGATACTGCCAAAAGAATATGGTAGAACTCACTGCATCCTGAGGCTTTTTGTAAGTGTCCATGTTGTTTTTCAGCTTCTGGCAGTTGCTACCTTCATAGATTCTAGAACATAGATCTTGGTGCACTAGCTCTGCCCAGTTGGAATGTTAGGGGTCTAGAAAGCACATGTGAAGAGAGCTTCATAGTAAAAAGCAGACCCTGTTGAGAACATAGTGACATCAGTGGCCTTTTATGCCGTGAGAAGGAGAGCCCATGTGTTTGCACGACGAGAAGGTAAATTAGCAGAGGGTCACTGGGGAATTGGAGCAGAGAGGATTCAGGGAGAGCTTCCTGCTTGCCTTCCTCCTGGGAGACCCTGAGTAGCCAAAACCCTTATCTCTGGGCAGTAGGTCACACCACTTGTATCTGACCCCTGGGAGAAGCTGCATTACAAGTCAGAAAAGCATCTCCTGCTGAAGAAGAGACCCAGAGCTCCACAAAAATGCCCCAGAGCCTGTGACTGCTGGAGACTTTAGCCCCTCGGGGAGACAGGGAAGGGCAGCAGCCAAGGAGCTTGCAGCATTCGGCCCATTTGTGGCTGCGCTCTGGCCTGGACCCCACAGGTCCAGAGGTCCTGCCTTTATGCTGCCGTGTTTCCAGGACACTGGTAAATGGGAACGCAGTCAGGAAGCATGCTGTGTGTGTCCGCACTCCACCCCTGGGCTGGCATCTTCCTCTCCAAGCCTGTACTCTTCCTGCTAATTCCCTTCAAAGATGTGAAAAAATGGAGTAAAAACTGAGTTTGCATTCAGACAGACCTGGGTTCAAGTTCAGCTTGGATTAAATAGCTTTATAGCACTAGGTAAAGCACTTCCCACCTCTGGATTTCCTTGTCTCTGAAACAGCTGTAATGGGGAGCTGTCAGATGTGGCATTCAGTAGCAGTGAATCACTGAGTGTGACTCTCTGGTGTGGACACCGAAGCACCTCAGGGGTGTTCAGTGGCTTGGAGAACTGTGCCCCATTCCCAGCTAACAATGCCACTTGGCTGCCCGGAGCCATAATGAGAGAAAGAAAGGCCCCAAATGAAACAAGCACAAAATGAATACAAAGCAGGCTCTTTATTGATTGGCACAGCAGTGCAGGGCGGATGCCCATCAGCCTCACAACCAACCCTTCCCCACCCACCTTTCCCCCTTCCAAGGTAAAATCTTGCCACCAAGCAAGGCTTCCAGCCAGCCTTACTCTAGCTGCTAGCCATGGTTTTCTGAATCCAGTCCAGGATGGTGGCCACCTTCACGTACACACCATACTCGGCTACAGTGCAGCTCTTGTCAAAGCTCAGGATCCCAGCTGCGTACCAGGTGTCCTGCTCCACGTCACGAATGGCAAAGGCACTGCCAGCGTCGCCGTAGCAGGTGTCCTCCTTGTACCTGGACATGCCGGCACAGAAGGTGTGTTCATTCAGGATGGGCTGTACCCCTACAGGGCTCTTCTGGGTCTTCTCCTCAGGTATTGTGCTGCCCTCGTAGTGCTCCACACATTTCTTCTGGTCCGCAACAGGCAGTGTGACGTACTTGAGATGCTCGGTAAATCTGAAGTTGGCATTTCGCCCCCAGCCAGACACATAACCTATGCGCCCCACCTCCGCATAATCCTTCAGAGGCAGGCAAATGGGCATGACTCTCTCGTTGACAGGCACCTTCTGTTTGAGCTTGATGAGCCCAATATCTACAGTGGAGTAGTTGGGGTAGAAAACCACCTTCTCGATCTCCACTGGCTGCTTTCTTCCCACAAAAAGCCTCAGAGTGGGGGCGATGTCCTCTGCTGTAGCATTCTCGGTGTGATTCAGGAAGAGGTTTTTGGCTGTGGTCAAAAGCCATTGCTCGCTGATGAGCGTGGCCCCAGTGGTGAGGTCATGGCGGGAGATCATCTTAGCCTGCCAGGGAAAGCTGCCCTTGGCGTCCAGAGAGCCGCCGATGATGCGCTGCACCTGATCCACAGGGTTCTTGGGCTTTCCACAGACTGAGGGACAGAGAGAGAGCCGTGAGCAGAGATGGAATGCACCTCCCCTCTGGAACACAGTGAAGGGAATTGAGGTTGCCACTGTCTACACCCTTTCTCACTTGTTTAAAGCTAGAAGTACCCATTTGCTTTGCCCTTATCCCGGCTCATCTGGTTTTCAGTATTTACTGTGTAAAATAGTGGGGTTTTTTTTCTTTGTTTTCATCACAAAGCACAGTTCCATTTTCTGCTCTTCTAATTCACTAAAGAAATGAGTAACACCAAGATTTTAAACATGGGGGCCAGGGAGACGGCTCAGTAGAGTAAGTGCCTGCCTGGCAAGTGCAAGGACCTGAGTTCAATCCCTGGTACCACAAAAACAAGGAACTGAATGGTTACTTAAACATGTTAATCACACAGAGGAGTTCCACACCTAGAACTCACTAGAAGGGCTGGGAGCTGTGGGATTCCTTCCCTCAAACTACACAGAGCTGTTACGGTGTTTCCAGGAAATCTCTGCTTCCATGGGAAAGGGAGAGCAACAGCTCTTCCTCACACACACACACAAACTGGAGTCCCACCCACGCCCAGTCTCTTGCCTCTGTTTCACTTTCCTCCATCCTCCCTTGACACATTATTCCCAGAGCTTGCTTCACCTTTGACCCAGGCTCTCTAGGTAGGCTGTCTATATATGTAGATCTCCTGCTGAGGCAGTGGGCCCAGTGGGCCTACATGAACAGGCTGCTTTGTGAGCTCCCCTGAGAGTCATCTCCTTACTGACCAGGTCAGCCTCATGTTCTGGTTTGCTTTGATCCCTCATCTTGGCTTTTGTATGACCAGGGGAAACCACACAAGTGCAAACTGTCTCTGTGACATCTTAACCAAGATGGCTTCCATACACAGAACCCTTGGCACTCACCTGCTTCACACTCTGGAAGTTTCTCTCCAATGACCTCATTCACCCACTGCCCCTCACTGTTTAAGGTGTACACTCCTGAAAAAAGAAGAAAGAAGTGAGCTCAGGGAGGAATCAAGTCTGGACCTAGTACAAGGTGATAAAGTTTTTAAAAAGATTTAGAAGGAGGATGAAGAGGGAAGAGCAAGACTGTGGGTGAGAAGAAACAGGAAGAGCACTGCTTCTGGTTGAGTGGTGGGAAGACTGGTGAGGAAGGTCTTGACAAGGTAGGCGAGGATCAGGGCTCAGATCCTGACTGCCTCTCACAGGCTGTGCGAACTTGGGCAAGCTCCTCAAGCTCTCTGGGTCTGTCCCCTCCTTGTAACAGTATCTCTTTAGGGGAGGGCCGTAAGAACTGAGGGAGCTTCAAATAAATAGGAAGCACTTTGAAAGCACCAGGAACACAGTGCTTACTTGAGAAGTGTCACCTACTGTCACCTTCCTTTCACAGAACTATGGGATAAGCAGACTGGACAGCATAGCTTACCCTTAACAAAGAAAAACTTGAGGCTGTGAAGTGAGCTTGTTCAGAGGGTCACTTTACTGATGACAGAATCTTTAGGAGAGCCTAGAGCTCCTGGCCCCCAGACATCCCTGTGAATTACCAGCCAGCCCAGCCCCAGCCATCACAGAAATGTCAGGATGGGTGTGTGCAAGGCAGACTCTCCAGGTCTTACCGTTGCCTTCCGTGCGCAACTTGTAGTACGGCTTACACTGATAGCGAACCATGTGCTCCACATAGCCGTTTGCAATCTCAGGGGGCTTTGGACAGCTGTCATCTGCAAAAGAAAGGACACCAGAAAAGGAAGCAAATATCCAGAAATTGTTCCCAGAAACCTGTGGAAAGTCGGCTGCAACTCTACGCAGTCTATAAATCAGGATCGCTTCCCCTAAATGGAGACCAAGGGAGGACAGTCTCCTTTCATTGCCAGGGGACCACAGGTTCTGAGAAGAGGGGATTGTGTCTTCCCTAAAGGACAGTGCAGAGCAGATGGGTTCTGAGTGGACCACAGCAGAGCTGGCAGTGCGCCACTCCTGCGCAGACCCAAAGACCTACCTGCAATGTCTGTGACATCGTTGTTAATGTGCACAGCAAAAAGCTGCCCCCAGAGCAGGAGGGTGACAAGAGCTCCCAGAGCACTACAGAGAAATGACAGAGTGCAAAGTCAGTCTCCCTGCTTCATGTACATACACACACACACCCATCCACACACACCTACAAATCCAGAAAATAGGGACATGGAAACGCTATGACCAAGAAGTTGTACCCACCCACCCGCTTTAGCAGCTTCTGAGCATTCCCAGCTTCTGGCAGGCTTCATGTTACCCAGAGTTCTAGTAAGTGTCAGGTACCACCAAGACAGCAAAGCCCAGAGCTCAATGGGTCTCGGTTTCTGGCTGTGTCTGCATAACATTAAATTTACTATACTAAAAATCTCACTCGGGCATCCCTGAACAACTGAGCTACAAAGATATTGCTAATAAAAGGAAGATAACTTGAAGATGGAAACACAGAGGTTATCTCTTAAGTTTTTCACATAATAAGTGATTGTTAATTTACAACTTAAAGTCTATGTGGTTGCTCCTATTATTTTATGAGCCCTACCTTTAAGGAAGGGTATATAAAACCAAGAAAGCTAGGAGGCTGCTTGGAGAAGTGGTTTCCTAAAAAGCAGAGGCCCACCTTGCCCACAGAATGTCTACCCATCAGGCATTGCCTGGTGCTGTTCAGTTTCTAGTCTTATTTTTCTCCACTTCAGAGAGCCTCTTCCTTCTGATACAGTCTGAGAGGATCCCATCTCCTGGCAAAGACAGCACTGCCTGAAAACAGCATCTTTTACAGACTTGATACGCTAAGCCCTATAACTCGCTACAGCCCATTGGCCCTGTTCCTTTGTCCCATTTTTGCATCTCTCCACTAAGCTTGTTCTGTACTGGTCCATGAGAAGAAGGATGGGATAGTTGAAACTGTAAAGAGCCTCACCTCATATTCTGGCCTTCCGAAGAGTGATGCCAGGGGACCAGCTCAGCCTTTTATGCCTCCAGACCTGACCCCACCTTCCTCATTTGTAATTCCCTGTTTACCCAATTTCAGCCTTGTGAAGGTCACTGACATGTTCCAGTAAGAAAAGCACAAATACCTCTCTTAAGAGTTGAGCTCTTGCATCACAGTTGGTGTTATTTTACCAATCCCTGAAGAAATCTGGCAGCTTTATGACCCCTTGGACCTGCCAAAAGTGTTTCCAGAAAATGGGAGTTGGGCAGGAGGAGACTCAATCTGGCTCTTTGTTTTGGAGGGTTTCCAACACGGAAAATGACCTTGCTTTGAGTTATTTCAAACCATTTGTAGACTTTCTTGCAACCTAGCTTAGGTATAAAGAAAACTAATGAAAGCATTTCTTTTTCATAATCATCTTCCTGCCTATGTGGACATCTCCCTATTGCTAAAAGCTCTCCACCCTTAAATCAGTAGTGTGTTTATTGTGTCTTCTCTGATTGCTTTTTGTAAAAAATCACACAAAGTTAAAGCTATAGACAGACACAGAGCTGCAAATCTGTCTACCCTGGAGGGTTTCCAGCTCCAAGGACCTTTGAGTTGTTTCAGACCCTGTGCAGACACCCCACACCTACATGGGGCTGTGAAGAAAACATTCCCTTTCACAGTCGTCTTGCCCACCTTACTTGATACCAAGCTCTCCAGTCTGAAATCAGTGAAGCATGCATATCAAACCTTCACTATTACCGTCTTCAAGAAATCATAGAGTTAGGGATATAGTGTGGCACAGACCACATTCCACAGCAGTGATCCTGGCAGAGTAAATAAGTCCAGGAATTATTTCAAACAGGTAGATTGTTTCAGCCAAGTATCTGTACATACACATCCTAAGTATGGTTCCATCAAAAGTAGCAACTCAATTAAAGATTGTTTTATTCATTTCTTTAAAACGTTAGGTGGAGGGGTCAGCAAGATAGTAAAGTGCCTGTTTAAGCAAGCACAGGGACCGCATGCTGTACCAGCTCCACCCCCAGGGCAGACTGACCCAGACACACACACACAAAAGGTGGGGCCAGGGATATAGCTCAGTGGCATAAGTGCCAGCTTGGCAAGCACAAAGTCCTGAGTTCAATTTCAAGTACCAAAAAAAAAAAGGTTAGGCTAGACTGTCTGTAAAATCACTTGGAATATTCATAATAGCATTGACATAGTAACAAAATAACTGGAACAACACAAATATCAATAGAATGGGTAAATATGTGGTATATTCACATAATGCAGTTATGAAATGCATGAATAATAAAAGAATATGAGTAATCTCATAAAGCTGATTTTGAAAAATAAAGAGGGCCAGCCAAATAGCTCAGCAAGCAGGTGCAGGGGCCAGGGGTCCAATCCCCAGGCCTGCTGTGCCAGCCCGCCACCCAGGGGCACACTGAGACAGAGATTGAGACTGGGTGTGGTGGTGCAGGCCTGTAATCCCAGCACTTGGGAGGCTGTAAACAGGAGAATCACTACTAGTCTGATCTAGTAGTGAGACCCTGAACACCCTATAGACCCTTCCCTAAAAAATAAAAAAGTTCTAGCTAGAATTACGTTCAAATTGATGTTACTCTAGGGGGCTTGCAGGTTAGCTCAGTTGTTTAAAGCACTTGCTTAGGCAAACTCAGGCATAGGGGACCGCAGTTCGATACCCAGCTCCACAGTCTGCACCAGCTAGGACTCAGGAGGCTGAGGCAGGCAGATCACCATAAGTTTGAGACCAATTTGGGCTATCCAGTGAGTTCAAGGCCAGCTGGAACTGCATAGCGAGACCCTATCTGAAAAAATATGTATATATCACCCTTACAGAGTTCAAAACAATATACAGTTTGGTAATTGATTCATTGAAATTACAAGCAAATGAAAAAATACATAACTTAGCTTCATCAAAATTAACTTTTGGAACCAGCGAGCTAGCTCAGTGGTCTAAAGTGCCTGCTTAGGTTTGATCCCCAGCACCACATGCCACACCAGCCCCACCTCCAGGGTGGGCTGAGCTGGCCACAACAACAACAACAAAAATTTAACTGCTATATCTCAAGTTAAAAAACAGAATGGGAGCAAATATTTGCAAATATGTCCAAAAAATCCAATTAAAATGTGGACAAAGGATTTGAGTAGACACTTAAAAATCATAGGAGAAGATGATGAACATCACTGAAAAATGTCATTAGGGGAAATGACACAAGCAGATACCATTCGTGTCCACCAAGGCGACTATAAGAAATGAATACACGACCACACACATACATACATAGCAATATCCGGGGAGATGGCTCAGTAGAATAAGCACTTCCCTGGCAAATGCAAGGGCCTGAGTTCAATCCCTGGTTCTGCAAAAAAAAAAAAAAAAGGTGGGGGTGGAGAGAGAGTCCTCATCCACTTCTAGTCAAATGAAAAATAGGATGTTCTCTGTGGAAAACAGTTTGATGGTTCTTCAAAAGATTACGATAGAATTCCCATATGGCCCAGTCATGGTTTGTGACTAGATGTCCCCCAAAGCCTCATGAAGTCATGCGGTCGGCCTTCTAGAGTTTGTGATTGATTCCTGGGTCCATGCTGGGCTTAAGGGTGTGAGTGCTGCACCCACCCTGGGGCTGGTAGCCTGCACACAGTGTACGGAAGGGAAAGAGGCTTGCCTGCTCCTCCTCCCTTTTCGGTCTTATTGCTTTTGCTGTCTTCTGCTGTCTTGAACAGGCACCCTTCAGCCTTGCATCCCTGCCTTGGAGCCAGCCTCATATGGGCTGAAACCTCCACAAGGTGTGAGCTAAAGAATTAACTGTTTCTTCCTTAATTTGGAGCATCAGGCATTTTATCTCAGCAGTATGAGGAAAGTAACCAAGATACCAAGCAATTCCACTTCTAGGTAGACTTAAACTCAGAGACTCCAAGACTTGCACATCACTATTCATTGCATCATTTTCACACTAGTCAGAATAATGGAAACAGCCCACGTGTCCATCAACATATGAATGCATAAACAAATAGCTATATTTATACAAAGGGACATCGTGCACCTGCGTGAAAAAGGGATGGAGCTGATACCATGCTATGATATGAATAAATGCGTGTGTGTGTGTGTGTGTGTGTGTGTGCCTTTTTGAGACGGTCTGGCTCAGGCTGGTCTTGAGCTCACTTTGTTGCCCAGGCTGGTCTCAGACTTGCAGTGATCCTCTGGCCTCCATCTCCTGAGTGCTGGGAGTACAGGCATGTACCACCACGCCCAGCCAATATGAATACATGGGGGGGGGTGCACTCTGAAAACATAATAAAAAAAGCCAAAACCAAAAGAACAAATACTACATAGTCCACTTGCAGTAAATGTCTAAAATAGACAAGTTCTTGGCAAAAGAATATAGTTTAAAAAAAAAAATACCAGGGCCTGGGAGGAAGGAGGAATGGGGAGCTATTGCTTAATTTGAACAGAGTTTCCATGTGAGGTGATGAAAAGGTTTTAGAAACAGTACCCATGGTTGCACAACAGAGCTAATGCAACTAACGCTGCTGGGTTGGACGCTTAAGAGTAGTTAAAATCAAATTTTATCTTACACATTTTATCACAGCAAAATTTCAAAAAATCATAAATACTGTTTTTGTATGCTTGGTATTCATATTTATACAATACACTGCTGTTTTGTTTTATTTTTTCCTCAATTAAAAAGTTTGTTTGTTGAGATAGGAGCTTGTTACTTTGTTTAGGTTGGTCTTAAACTCACTATGTAGCCCAAATTGGCCTCCAACTCACAGGGACCCTTCTGCCTCCGCCTCCTGAGTGCTGGGATTGCAGGCATGCACCACCACTCATGGATAATTTTAACTTTTTAAATGGAATAGAAAATACAAAATGTAAGGTGTTGCCTCTCATGAGATTTGAAAAGAAAGGAATAAGAGAAAAGCACATGGATAAATAAAAATGAATTGTTAATTCATTTGGACTGGAATAGATTCATTAATGTACATTATTTCATTGTGCTTTATTTTCTTTGTAATATGCAAGCATAGATCACATATAATATGGTTTTTTGTTGTTGTTGTTGTTGTTGTTTGTTTTTTGCAGTACTGGGGATTGAACTCAGGACCCAGCACTTGCCAGGCAAGCACTTATTTATTCTACTGAGCTATCTCCCCAGCCCTATAATATGTTATAAGTATGAAATGTCTTTTTTGAAAATATGGAGGAGGAAATCCCCTGAAGAACTAAGAGGCCCCTCTCCCCTGGCCCAGGAGGTGGGAGTGGGTATGAGAGCTGCCAGTTCAGATGCCTGAGACTCCCCTCCCTCCCTGCAGCCCACTCTGCCCTCTCCCGGTGACAAGGCAGAGCCAGGGACAGACCTGAACTGTTCTGTGGCTTGGGGCTCGCCTTCTCCCCTGCTCCTAGAATATGAAGGCTGCTGTGAAGAGCCCAAGCCATCCCTCAGCACAGGAGAACAAAAGGCCTCCGAGGAGCAGGCAGCATAGCCCAGCAGCCCTCCCTTGGCCAGCCACAGGTGACTAAGGCCTTGCCGCCGCCAGTGGAGGCTAACCAGACCCAAGTGGCCTCTGCCTGATCTGGGCCCGGGCCAGACTGCTGACCTGCAGAATCTTGAGCTAAACAAGAAAGGCTGAGTTTAAAATTGGCTGGGAAAAAAATAATAAAAAGTTGGCTGGGAAAAAATGAATAAGTATATAAAGTTGGCTGGGGATACAGTTCAGTGGCCCAGCACCCGCTTGGCAAGCATGAGGTTCTGAGTTAGATTCTAGGTCCTCTATATAAATAAGGTCACTAAGCTTTGGGCAGGTTTGTTAGGCAGCCAGTGTTAGCTAGCACTGCTGACATACAGAAGAGATGAAAATGTAGCTCTTGGGGGCCAAGGTATTAGAATTCCCCTCCCTGGGCCCCGTCATCCCTGTATCTCCTGCCACGGTTGATTGGTCTTTACCAGTTCTCTGCCACCCAGTTGTGTCCATGAGGAGGAGGGAGAAGAAAGCTACTGCCTTGTCTTTTCCAGAACCTTTTGGCATGCCTCAAACTGCAAAGGAGCCCACTACACCCGCGCCCTCTCCGCCTGTGTCCTCAATTCTTGCCCCACCTCTCCCTCAGCAATCATCTCAGGCAGTCCTCTGCCGGGTCTCGAGAATGTCGCAGCCCTAGACTTCTAGGTTTTCCTCTGCCCAGTTGCTTCTTTCTCCACAAGGGGGGAGAAATGTATTTCTACAGATCCTCGGAGAAGCAAGGAGAACCTTTAGTCTACGACCAAAGAGGGGGGTAGGCAAGACTTTCTCCCGGAACTGCAGTCCTCCTGGGGCATGGGACTCGGAACACTGCTCCCCACTGCTGTAGAACAATTGCCTACCCACCAGGTGCACAACAATCGCACACTCTTCTTCCAAGTACAGCCTGAACTGGAGCGCTCTGACCTCTTGTCTGAGCAACAAGTGACATTCACAGCCTCTGTGCCCTGGCCACCATCTGTAAACAGGACAATACAGAGATCCAGGCCTTCTCTGGACAAGACAGACGGGAGGGTGCAAGTGGGAAGGCTCAGTGCCAAGCCACAAGAAGAGGGAGTGTACTTATAGGGAGAACAAAAAGCAGGAAAGTGTAAGGAAATAAAGAGGACTGTAGTTGGCAAAGTTGAAGGGTAAAAGTGTTGTTATTTGGGGGAATTTTTTTACCTTTTTGAGACAGGGTCATGCTATGCAGCTCAGGCTGGCCTTAAGCTCATTTTGTAGCCCAGGCTGGTCTCACACTTGCAATAATCCTCCTACCTCAGCCTGCTGAGCACTGGCATTACAGGCATATGCCACCATGCCTGGCTCAAAGTTTTTATTTTAGAAGGAGAAAACAGGGGCTGGGAGATGGCTCAGTAGAATAAGCACTTGTCTGGCAAGCACAAGGGCCTGAGTTCAATCCCTGGTTCTGCCAAAATAAATAAATAAATAAATAAATAAATAAATAAATGAATGGAGAAAATCGTTTTCAAAGTTCATTCTGCCATCACAAAAGTCTTGAAATTTCATAAGATACAGAAAAATAAAAATAAGGAAAACACCCCCCAATATTTCACCATCCAAAGGCAACTAATAACCATTGGTAACACCTGAGCATTACTTCCTCCAGGATTGTCCCCACACGTATTTTTTTTTCCTTTTTTATTTTTTCTTTCTTTCTTTCCTTTTTTTTTGTGTGTGGCCAGCTCCAGCTGGCGCAGCATGTGGTGCCGGGGATCGAACTGCAGTCCCGCGCTTGCCTAAGCTTGCCTAAGCAAACGTTAGACCGCTGAGCTATCTCGCCAGCACCAGCAGTGCGCGTGCGCCCGCGCACATACACACACACACACACACACACACACACACACACACATTTTACATAGTTATGATTATTTTTATTAGAATTTTTGTGATCTGTTTTGTTTATCCAACATTGTAGGCATTTCCCATGTTTAATATCAGATCTTACTAACTTAAGGAGGCATCATTTATTCCTTCCTTGTTGCGTGAAATTTAAGCTAATTCTATTTTTTTTCTAGTTTTTCTGAAATAAATGCCTCATGCACAGAGACAGAGGTGTGAGGAAGAAAGTGAGGCTCGTGAACTCCATGTGGATGTTCAGCTGGTTCAGCAGCACTTGTGGAGCCCCCGACACCTCTGTATTCAGCTCGGGGCTTCTTTATATTACCTGGATGCATTCAACATCTAGCTCATACGGCACTTCCGCCGATATCCCAGCCCCCGCAGAAATGATCACTGGCCTGACTCTTATAATAGAACTGATTTTGCTATTCTTGAATTTCATCTTATACTTTTCTTTTTTAAAAAATTTATTTGTTTGTTTATTTGTTTATTTATTTGTGTGTGTGTGTGGCCAGCTCAGCCCACCAGGGGGCGGAGATGGCTGGCATGTGGTGCTGGGGATTGAACCGCGGTCCCTGTGCTTTGCTTAGCTTAGCTTGTTCTAAGTAGGTGCTTTAGACCACTGAGCCATCTCACCAGCCCCATCTTATACTTTTCTAATTAAGTCTCTTCATAAGTATTTGATGATTATACTATTGTAAATTATATTTTACTTTGTTTACTAAGTATTAGTAGTGTAGAAGAATGTAATTGATTTTATGTTGATCAATTTTTTTGTACCAGGAATCGAACTCAGGGCCTCACATTTGCCAGGCAGGCGCTGTGCCACTGAACTACATCCCCAGCCTCTATTGATCTTATGTCATACAACCTTGATAAATTTACTAATTAAATCTAACTGATTAATGTTCTGAATATTTCAGTCATAATCATTTCTTCTGCAAATAATGGCTGTTGCATCTCTTTTCACTTTTTTATGCCACTTGTTTCTTTTCTCACCTTATTGTATTAACTAGAATTTTTATTAAGAGGTTAAATAGAACAGTGGAGTGGACATCCTTCTTTTGTTTTGACAATGAAGGTGGGAAAGAGCATTCAGATTTGCTTTAGTATGTTTTTGGAGTTGTGGGGTGTGGTTGGTTTGTTTGTGGTACTGTGAATGGAACCCAGAGCCTTCACTCTGAGCTGCATCACCAGCCCTTTTTATTATTTTGAGACAAAATCTCACTAAGTCACTGAGTAGCCCAAGCTTCCTACCTTAGCCTCCCAGAGTGTTGCAGTTTTTGTTTTGTTTTGTTTTGTTTTGTTTGTTTGGTGGAACCGGAGATTGAACTCAGGTCCTTGCGCTTGCCAAGCAAATGCTTATTCTACTGAACCTTCTCCCCAGCCCCCTGCTTTTCTTTTTTCTAAGGAGAAAAGGTATATTTAGCTCACAGTTTGTAGAGGTTTCTGCCCATAATTGGCTGGCTCCAAGGCAGAAGGCAGCAGTTCAGGGTGGCGGAAGACAGCAAAAGCTCTGAGATAGATGCAGGAGAGACAGACAGATGGGCAGGCAGGCAGGCAGACAGAGTGACAGAGGGCTGTGTGTGTGTGTGTGTGTGTGTGTGTGTGTGTGTGTGGTATTGTTGTTTTACTGTTTGTGGGTTCTCTTGGTTTTTGTGTATTTTATTTTGTTTTGTTTGGGTAGATATCCTTTATTGGATTAAGGCAATTTTTATCTCTGGTTCATTGGATGGTTGGCTGGCTGATTTTCTGAGACAGGTACTGTATATAGCACAAGTTGGCCTGGGACCCTAGATCTCCTGCCTCAGTTTCCCAACTGCTGAAATGACAACCATGTGCTGCCACACCTGGCTGAGATTTTGTGTACCATAAAGACATGTTGAATATTTTTTTCTTTCTCATTAAGGTCCCCTATTCATAATATCTAATATTTTATCCATTAAGATCACCTAACTATAAGAATATGTTGAGTTATAGTCACTGATGTTTGAACATGAAACTAACCTTGCATTTCTGGAATAAACCTCAATTTCTCATGATGCCGTATATTTATGTTTTATGGGTTTGGTTTGCGAGTTTCTCTTTTATTCTTTGTTTTTCTATCTGGGTTTCTAAGAACTGTTGGCCTATGATTTTCCTTCCTTGTAAGGAATCTGCATCACGAGTTCATGTTAAGATTAGGTTGGCCTCTTAATGCAAGTTGAATAGTGTCTCCTTTTTTGTATTCTATGAAACAATTTGTATAAGATTGACATTTCTTCCTTAATTTGGGGAAGGAATTTGCCAATGAAGCTGTGTGAGCCTGTAGCTTTTTCTTTTCCTTTTTTTCTTTTTTTTCCACATTCATGTGTGTATGTGGTAGTGATCAAACACAGGACCGACCTCCTACATATTCTACCTCAGGGCTGCATCCAGCCCCAGCCTATAGTTTCCTTGTGGGGAGATTTTAGATTTCAGATGTAATGTCTTATCTACATATCTGTGTGTGGTGGTTCATGCCTGTAATCCCAGCACTCAGGAAATTAAGGCAGGAGAATAGCCACAAGTTCAAGACCAGCCTGGACTACATAGTGAGTTCAAGATCAGCCTAGATGACAAAGCAAGACAGTGGCAAAAAAAAAAAAAAA